AAAATTAAGGACTTTTTTGTAATTTAATATTTTATATTGAGATATAAAAGAAAAAAAAAAAGAGAGAAGGGAGAAGCAGAGGGAGAGAAATACTTACATTGTCACGACGAACAAAACCAGAATAGCGGGAGAGATTACAGAGATATCCATAATGGTTTCTCCGGAATGTCTCGAATTTACGCTCTGAAAAATCCCGCCGATAATCTTCTGATAAGAATTTAAACCACCGAAAGCTGCAGAGCTCCACTCCATTACCACCAACATTGCCCATTGAATCACCACTAACCCCACCATAGTTTCTACCAGAAACCACGACTGCCGGCTCGGAAACAAATGCAAGTACCCGATTTCTTTCGTGTTCTCCAGCAAGAAATCGACGTAATAACGACTTTTCGGCGACTTCACGGCCAATTTTCCGACCAACCATGTGAAAACCCGAAGGCATGGAGGGAACAGAGTGTTGCCTACCAGAGCTTGGGGGATGAGTATGAGGAGCAGACCGGAGTTCTTGCTGAAAACCATCATGTTTTCGTTCGTTGGGATGAATCCGCAGTTGACGAACGTGGAGACCGTCGTGAAGGCGGAGAATGTGAGTAGGTTTAGATTCTTGTTTCTCAGAACGTCTCTTGCACTTGACACAACCGCCATGTAAACATAAACCAGAGCTGTACCGGCGGTTTGAACCACCATTAAATATCCCAACACTACGTATGATAGCAGCTTTTTGGAATTGTAAACCAAGTTGGGATCTCTAACATCTGATGACCACATGTTTTTTCGGCAAGGAAAAGACATATTCTCTGATTCTGGATTTGCAGAAACAGATTTATTGGTTCCTCTTGCTGTTACTGTTACTGAAACCTCACCTAACTCTATATCATTATTAGTTGAGGAACTTCGGCTGCTAAGAACCGAAGCTACCTTCTCTTCAACATTGGGAAGCATCTTTGCCCTAAACCGGCTGAGGAACAGACCGGCCATGGAAGTGAACACCTCGCCTCCAATGAACATCAAGACGGTCAAAACTATAAGTTGGGAGTTGGAGAAAACCTCCATTTCCACTGTAGACATACTAGAAACAGTAGTTGCAGAAACAGAGGTGAAGAAAAAGTCTAAATCTCTAGGCTTAAAAGATGGGTAAGTTTTCGGCTTCAAAGCCTTGAGAAACCCGAAACCCAGAAACGAAACAGACACGAAATAAACAAGTTCGACCTGAAATGAGTTGACCCGACACAGCAGAACCCGAAACCAACAGGCCATTCGACAGTAGATGGAGCTGCTTAAGCAGCCTAGTCTGTGACAGGAACAAGAAAAAAGGTGTTGCAGGGTTTTGGGCAAACGAGAAAAGTAGTACTTCACCTCCATTATTGTGATAGGTAGAGGCTGAAGACGATGATTAGTGTTACAGCTCGTTTATGTTGCAAATATGATTTGGTTAATGGTGGGTTTTATAGAAACATCAATGGCAAGTTTGTGGTTTACGAGATAACAAAGAGGTCTTTCTGGGCTCATTATCATTTTCTTTTTGAATTTTTTTTCCCCAATAATTGGAATGCTTGCCCCTTCCGATACTGTTATTAAAGGAAAGTTATTATTCACACGAGATTAAATTTGACTGATACATTTTAAATATTTTATAAGAATTGAAATAAAAATAAATAATTATTATTTGTTTATGAAATAAATTAGATTATTTTCATTATGATTCTTAATTCTAATTTTTTGTGAAGAGATGGAATATTAGATGTAAAGCAAGAATCCATAAGGGTCAGTTTTGATAGTTCGAATCATTGCCTAAAGAACAAATAAAAGCACAAATTAAAAAATATGTATATAAAATTTCGACATAAAATCTGATAAACACATGTTTGATTCACAATTTTGGGTTACTAATTAAGTTGTTAGACATAATAAAATATATTATATGCTTCAGTTAACAAATACAAAATATCTTTAAGATTGATTATTTCTTTCATTCTCTCATATAATGTTTATCAATAAAATTAAAACTTATAAAATGAATACAAAGGATGAACATTATCTATAAAGAACTTAGATTAATCATTCTTTTAGTAAAAATTTATACATTTATTAATAAGTGATACATTAACATCAATCATAATATAATAAAAAGAACTTTCAAATAAAAATACATTTAAATAAATTTTGATTCGAACTTACAATGTTGTACAAAGTAAGAAATCAACTATTGAATTAAATATTGATCGGTCTCTAATTAATCAATTTACGAACGAATAATCATCAACTTGCAAGTTAGGTTTATAATTTGAACTTTTTTACAAAGTAATCTTCTAGTCTCAATATGGATGACTTATTATTAATCAAATTAATGAAAGACCTAATTTCAATACATGAAAACTATTATGAAAGTATTTGACAGTTAAACTAAAGAAAAAATCATAAGGAAAAAAGTAGATACACAAAAAGGGTAAAAAAATAATCTTATTCCTAGGTATCAAAATATAAATAATAAAGAAACTTTTGTTTGTTACTTTTAAATTATAATCATTTACATATCTATGAACTCAATTGAGATGTAAAATGATTTATAAGAAATGATAGTTCTATTTGAGTATAAAGAGTGTCCTTAAAAAAGTAACAAAGGGCCTAACGCGCTCCATGTACAACCATCCTAAACTATGCTTGTGCACTTGATCTAGCAACCACCTTTTTTTTCTTACTCATCTAATCACAATATTGTCTTTAAGAAAGAAAAATAACTCATAGTAGGCCATGTACCAACTAAGGAGGCTATATAATTTGCATCTATGTAGTGATTCAATTACTAATCCAATATTTTTTTAACAAAATTTTATGTCATGATTAGCTTATAGTTTGTAACACCCCAAGTGTTATTATTATTTTTTTTAATTTTTTTATTTTGTAATTAATTTAATTTGATTTAATTTAGCATAATTTTATGAAAATAATAATAATAATAATGATAAAATTGGGTAAAAATATTATTTGGATTTAATTGAAATTGATTTTGGGAAAAAGGGGTGAAAATTTGGATTCTGGGGGTGTTTTTGAAAAGAAAATCAGAAACCAGGGGTCAAAATGCAATTTTAAAAAGTTGTGCCACGTTAGCAGCCATGTCAGCGGCCCGGTCAGCAGCCCCAGCCAACCAGGATGCCCCGCGTGGCAAGGAAACGCTGACCAGGGGACGGGCCACGTGGGCGATCCGCGTGCGCGCGATCGGACGGCCCAGATCCGTTCCCGCGCACACGGATGTCCCATATCAAATGTGCGCACGGACGACCCAGATTCACGCGCACGGATGACCCAGATTCAATCAGGCATGGACGACCCAGATTTAATCCTAATTAAATCGCGATCGAACAGTTCATATTTAATCTTGATGAACGGCTGAGATTAAAAGGAAAAGGGTATAAATAACCCCACCCACACCTGACCAAAAAACCCTAGCCGCCAGTGTATCGCCGAAACCCAGCGGCGCCGCCGCGCCCCTCCTCGATTTTTGCCTCCGATGAGGCCCTTCCCGGCATCCATTTGATGCAAATTTTATACCACCGTGATCATCGTTCTTTTCTCTACAGGTTGATCAGAGCCAAATATCAAAACGCGACTCACACCGGAGGAGCCACCGCACCCGAGAGCACTGCCTCCAATGAGTTTCGATTTTTCGGCCCACCGAGGGCCCTAGGGTTGTTTTATCGCAGGGACCGATGCAAGCATGGCCGAATTCGGCCGAAAACGACCAACCCGAGGCGAATCGCCGGAGCACGGCGGAGCCGCCGTGCCGGAATTGCAATATTGGCCGAAAGGGGCCCTAGGTCTAATTTGGAATTTTTTGGGACACGTGCAGGTACCAGTAATGCGTTTCAGTTTTCTGGAAAAAAAATTAGGAAAAATTAGGGACAACCTGTAGGCGCACTGTAGAGTCGAATTCAGACCCCGAAACAGGTAAGGACCCCTCACCCTGTTTCCTATCACGATATTAAAGCTAAATAAATAATTAAACTGTACTGTGTGACTTTATAGATGTATAATTGATTAAGGTTGTCAATGGAGCCCGAGTCTGATACTGGGTTAGTCTGTTATTGTTTGATTTAATTTTCAGTATTAAATGCAGCAAGATGTTTGATGTAATTATATTATGGTCTCGTATGCATGAATCATGGTTTCTTTTATTATAGTTGGTATTATGCTTAACCCGATACTGTGTTGTCTTGTTTGGTGTCCATTACTGGTTTACATGTTATGTGTGTTTGGATGATTGAAACCAAGAAAAATGGCAAAAAGGTTATGTGAATTGATAAATGGATAATGTGGACAGCCTAACTAGATATCCTGGGAGATGGTGGATGGACCAGGTCTGTAGGGAACCCTACCGGGAACGTGGTCTCTCATACCGGACGGGGTATGGAGATCTTATGTGTTTTGGCGCCCATACCGGACGGGGTATGGGGACGGCCCGTTTCACCCTCATATCGAACGAGGTATTGAGGTTCATGGTTTTGGCGCCCATACCGGACGGGGTATGGGGACGGCCCTGGAATCAGGTTGTAAATGTTAATGGTTCACGTGTAGCGGGGACCCTCTATGAATCCCCAGGGATACTAGTAGGCTGGTAAAAGAGGAAATCTATTTTCTGATGATTGAAATGTAAAGGTATGATATGTGTTATGTTATAAAGTGTATATGATTTCATGATATTATAAGGTTATTATTTTCATATGTTGTTTTCATGGATCTCACTGAGGTAAGTGGACAGTAAAGGTTTTTATATTAATAAACGAATTTGTTATAAATTATGCTCAATTGGTCATTTTTGTTTTCTACCCATCTTTATTTCCGTAGCGGTGAGATAGTGTGATGTCTTTACTGGGCTGGTGTAGCTCATTCCTTATTTAACCATTTCAGATCAGGAAGACATTGTTCCCGAGCCCGTTCCGCAGGAAGACGACAAAGGGGACGCCTAAAGACTTCATAGTTATATTTATAGTTCATATCTCGAGTATCTCTTTTAGTTAGTTTGTTATTTCATGTTTTGAGTACGTTTTGGTTATTGTGTAAGGGATGTTAATCAAAATTTTTATTACGCTTCCGCATTTGACATTTTTAATACATATATCTCATTTAAATTTTCGGGGTCGTTACATTGTTAATGTTGTAACCTATATACTGTATAAGAATGAACTTCTATTAGGTTATACATAAATTGATTGCCCACTCTGTAACACCCTAATTATTTTATTATTATTATTTTATTTTATTTTAATTTTTCTTTTATTTATTTATTTAAGTAATAATATAATTATTTTAATTTAGTTTAATTTAATTTAATGGAAATAAAAATAATAATAATGATAAAAATGAGTAAAATTATTTTTGGGGTTTAATTGAAAATAATTTTGAGAAAAAATGGTGAAAATTCATATTATGGGGGTGTTTTTGAAAAGAAAATCAGAAACCGGGGGTCAAAACGCAATTTAGAAAAATTGTGCCACGTCAACAGCCACGTCAGCAGCCCGGTCAGCGGCTCCGGCCAACCAGGACACGCCGCGTGGCAGAGGCGCTGACGCGGGAAGGCCACGTGGAACGGGCCACATGGGCGATCTGCGTGCGCAAGATCGGACGGCTGAGATCCATTCCTGCACGCACGGACGGCCCAAATTGCACGTGTGCGGACAGCCCATATTGAATCACGCACGGACAGCCCAGATTGCATCGCGATGGACGGTCCAGATTCATTTCTAATTTAATCACAATCGGACGGCTCGGATTAAAAGGGGAAAGGTTATAAATAATCTCATCCATACCCAACCCCAAACCCTAGCCGCCAGAGCCCTCACCGGAGAAGACAGCCCAGCCACCGGAGGAACCGACTGCTGCACTGCGCGCACTGAGCACTTTCGGCGCCAACGAGTAAAATATCTCCCTGCTCGGATTCGATGCTGAACCCCCTG